GGGGGGAGGTGCGTTACAAAGTGTGATGATTGGATATAGAGAGCTGAGAAACAGAGGATATGAGTGTCTGAAGACTTGAATTTGTTTTCTACACCTCTATTTTCCTTCTTTTTCCCCTTTCTTTTCCAGTGTTCTCAAGCGAAATTCCCAATAACAACACCACAGGCAGGCACGCTACGAGACTCTTCTCCGATTTTATTGTAAATACAATTACTTCCTAATCTTCCTCTCCGAACGGGGGAGTGCCGATCTGTGACCTTTCATCGAGTGGAAAAGACGGGCGCCCGGTGTAATGACGTTTTATCTAGAATGAGGTACATTCCGGGGGCAGCCCGTGGAAGGCAAGGCTGTCGGGCCCAGTGTGATTTAGTGCAAGTCCGCAGTCTAAACTAGTTCCCCATTCCGTTTTCCGTTTTTGGACATGTGGCTCCAAGCGAAATGAAAGCAGGGGACGGTGGTTGTTATAGATCCATGTTACCAAACGTGTCCGCTGGTGCGATGCTGTTGCTTGGGCCACATTGTGCATGTCGATGATGATTGAAGGCTTGTTTCTCATCCATTTTCGTGAAGAGATGACGGCGTTCAGAAATGGGGTTAATGAATTATTTTTCTTGACAGTTGTCGACAGCGCTCTGGTCGTCAGGTGGGCATGTTAGAATTGCTGATTACCACAGATCCACACCTGGGAACAAAAAATAAATAAATAACGTTTCTGACAATAAAATCATGGACATGTTTTCTACTATATTACAAAATTAAGTATCGTGCGTTGCGCTTAAAAAGAGAGTGTTATAGACAAGACATTTTAGGGTTTGGGTTGTCACCCAGGAGCAATGAAGGGCAGAACAAGAAGAGGAGGTTTAAAAACAAAACAATCTTCACACAACACCACTGGGTGAATTTTTGGAGAGACCCTGGTCCTCCCTTTTACCGGGAAGAGTGGAACCAAATTAGTACATGGATTTTCAAGGTGACATCCTGCAGTCTTTGTCAAGACATAAAAACATAAGAAGATTGCATGGCTGAGTCTTTGTCAAAACGGTCTCACAGCAATCGTTTAAGTTCCCCGATTCCCCACTATCCATCTCTACCCTCTTGCATTTGGATACAGATTCAGTTTGTTTGTTGTAGTTGTTGTTGTTTTAAGATCTATGTTTTTACGTTGAAAGAATTTAGATCATGTAGGAGGCTGGCGTCTAACTCTACCTGCAAGGGCCATCCCAGGCTGAGAGGGAAACAGCATTTAAAAAGAAATGAAGATAATATATTCCATTCAATGTTCTCCTTACTCGGAAATCTGACACCGTTTCGAGAACACGAGAGGAATAAGACGCCAGGTAAAAGATTCGCGCAGTTTCAATCCACCTACAACAATTTTAAAACGATTACTTATAGTTGCGCTTTGGACTTGATGAAGCATCAGGATATCAGCCATCGTAATACAGCAATTATACTGAAGAGGAAATTTATGTCTGATCCAGGTAAAGAAGAAGGTTATTCCTAGAAGTTGCAAAATCCATCATCGATAAAGATACAATTGCTTTTTTTTAAAAAGAGAGGCAGCCGCAGGCTCGGGCAAAAAATCGTTGATATTTCGCATGCCAGTTAATTGCGTAGTTGACATTACATTGCAATTTTAAACATTTCAAATCGTACGAGTTTCCATGGAGACAAATGATGTCTAAGCCTTTCATGAGAATTCCAAATGGCAAAATGTTTGAAGTGTAACCTGGACTTTGCCATTCTTCTAGTCCCTACTATTCTATAGAAACGTATTGGAGAACACAGAAATAAAGCGAGAAAAGCACGATTTATTCTTGCAATATATTTGTATAACAAACAGTGGTAATAAGGACTTTGATATACAAAGTCCTGCACTTTATTTACCCCCTATTCTTCCGGATGAAGGATCTTGCAGATTCTTAAAATGTCTATGTATCCGTGCCAACCCTTTTGACTGAATTTCCACCCTTTGAGTTGTAGCCACCCTTCCTCCCCTTTTTTCTACATCCGTCCTCTCCAGATAACTACTTTGACGAGAAACATGTTTCTGGGAAGTAAAGAAAAGTTAGAGCCACCCGAGACTCAAACCCCGACTCTTAACAAATCAGTGTAATTTTTCTGTTACAGTTTAAGACTGAAATACCGTTCTTCCCGTTCGTCAGAAAAAATTACTTCCACCAGACAGCAGATGAAGAGGATTTCAATTGTTTTGTTTTTTACGGAGAGAAAAGATACAAATCAATACTGTGCGACACAGAATACTTAATTACCAGGTTTAGGATTTACAATCCACGTGAGGGTGGACTGGAATGATGACTAATTTGCTTTGAAACATTTAGAAACATTTGCGTGGCAAGGAAAAATCTTACTCTCATCAAATTATTATGTTTCCCAAGCGAATTTAACTGCAGCTGGAGTTCTCTATTGTGTGTTCTTTGAAACTGAACTTTAGACAACGAAATCAATGTTTCTTTTAATTCAGATTTGTTGTGTCCATTAACTGTGTAACCCAGGATGCCATTCAAACTCTTAAAAGCCGTAGTCAGTTTTCTGACACGGAAACACGAAGTCTTCTTTCTCAGTTTCCTTTTTATTTGTTACTTCCCTTGATCCAGTAATATCACATTATCTATGATATAAATGAAACAGAACAATCTGATTAGGGGGAGGGGGAGGGGGATTGTGGAAGTTTTTAATAGGGTTTGTTTTGCATTTATTTTGGGGATTTTTTTTGTTTTGTTTTGTTGGCTTTTTGGGAAAGAAAATGTTGTGTGGCGTATTATCTTTCTTATACATAATACTATTAATGCTCAAACTCAGAGCTTGTTAACTGCAGTCAGACGTGCACACTTCAATTCGCTGCGCCTATCTGATCAGTCAGATGCGACTAGCTGACCTTGTGGATCATTGCACGTGACCTTGTGGATCATTGCACGTACCCTGCAACTTAAGCTACAGGAGAGGAATCTGAACTGCTATACAATTGTTACTACCAGCCTATTGTGAGTCCTATGATAGCCTCACACGGATCAGGGATCGTAATTATAGCTTGTTCACATTCGTCTATTTTAACAAATCTGGCTCATTTATATTTACTTACTTATGTTCATGTTGCTTTGCACCGCACTCCAGTAGGCCATTTTGTTTGAGTAAAGAGGAGCCCATGGGCACAATAATGGTCCTTTTTAGTTTTAGTATTAGTAGAGGTTTTACGGCGCTCGTAACTGCATAAGGGCATATGAGCGCCAGAAGATTAGATCTAGAGGTGTTACAAGAGAGTAACAAGCATAAAAATAAGGGAAGATAAGGACGATAGATATTTGACAGGAAAGAAGAGGCAAACCACACCAGAGCACCTGCCAACCACCCACAATGGTCTTTAAGTGTATGGAAAAAGTAAGACAGACAGACAGAAACAACAGAGGGAAAGTAAAGAAGTAGCACCTTCCAGTGACACCCTCCAACTATCCCCCCCCCCCCCCCCATGTAGTCCAGCACCAAACTTTTTTTTTATATTGATCCTGTAATTCTAAATGTTTTGTTATTTGGGCCGTATATCAAAGACCGCCCTTTGGGTTCACACACAAGATTACTACAACAAAGGATTTACACTAAAATAGCCAACAAATTGTTCATCATATGACAACGACAGCACCCTGTGCTCACATTTTAGAGTGACCTGGTTTCCTTCAAAGACCGCCAAGACGTCTCAAAAAGTATCAACCTGTCTGCTGGACCTATGTTTCCAAGGTCTGCGTTAAAATTATGAGTTAAATAAAAAATACGTTAACTTTTTTTATATATTAGGAGTATGTTGTAAATACCACATTATATTTTGGCCCGCTTTCGACTAACATCAAAGAAAAATTTTTGGAACCTTAGTCGTAGAGACTTTGTTAATGGGCTTTTAGATTCTGTTGGTCATCGAACTTTTAGACCCACATGCAAAGACGTGAGGAGATTGAGCAATTTGTTTTTGTCCCGTTTTCACCGCGGACAGACAAAAAGTCAACAAATTGTTATTGATTTCATTTCACAACAGCAGGAAATCATGCCTTGGGTTGCAACCATGTTAGATATTTGTGTATAGTTTACGTACCAATAAAAATTGATTGATTCCATTTGGTTTGTATAATAGGGAATATGGCACATTTTTCTTACATTAAATTAGAACAAGACTAAGCCCCCCCCCCTCCACGCCTCCCTTCCTCAATGTCCTCCCAATCTCTGATGAAGTATGCCCAAAGCTCTGCATCCGTGTGTTCATGGTCCTCCAATGAGAACGCCTTCAGTAAGTGAATATGAGGGTCATTCTTGAAACGCCTAACTGAGTATGAAAGAAATCTAAAAACACTTGGTAAAAGCAATAAATTTCGTTGCTTTTCTTGAATCGTTCCGCTAGAGGGATACCATGAGTTATTTGAGTCAATGGAGCCCCCAACAGTAAAAAAAAAAAAAAGCTTAAGAGGGAAGTTGGAGAAACTTAAAATGCAAGACCATTTAGCTTAAAATGCTCACCAGGATTCACTCTTTGGTGTACCTGCTGTTTTGACGGACATCTCTGTTTAGAAACCTTGCAGGAGAGTGCTTTTTGGATGTAGGTGTTTCTACGCGACCAAAAGACACACTTCAGAATATTTAGAAGGCGGGTTTCCGACCCTGTATGTGAGGGCCAACCCAAGCAGAGGGGGATACAACATCCCAGCCAAAAGACCGAGATACTCGATAAAATATTTTCCTCACTCGAGCCTCGGAATCAGGTCTCCTGCGTGCAACAGCCAAGCACCTAACCGCTACACCACAGACTGCAGTGATCGTGTTATCTGACTACGTTATTTCTATAAGTACAATATGACGCCCATGGTCTTTATATCGATTTGACTATCCCCAAAACAGCGTTCTTCTCTTCCTAATTATTTTTTTTCTTTGTGAATTCCCTCCCCACCCCCCTCCCATGTGGCCCACTTTCGGTACTACCTCATTTGATTTCTTTTCCTTCCATAACAACAATCTCCTAAAAAACCATATTTCAGTTGCTTCGAGTTTATGTTCACTGTCTTTGGTAAGTGTCCAGCATTCAAAGCCGTATATAAGAGGGTTGAGCACACAAAAATCCTTTTAGAACTGTTCTTTTCATAGTCATTGAGACGATTGTATTAATTCTTTTCATTTTTTATTGAACTTGTTTTTAGCTATTGTGCGTCAGTACATCTTTCTATTTGCATTGTTAGGGTTAATGTAACATTTCCGTTATCTTTATCATGTACAAAGCCAAATTGTATTTTAGCTTCCTCGATTAGATTTTTTCCTCATTCTTTCCATCAGTTCTCGCAGCAATAGTGTTGTAAAATGACTCATAGAGCTTTTTTTTTTTCTATGCAATTCACAGTCCCTGTGGCACCTTGTAATCTAGGTCACTCCTCTGTGTTGTTCAATTCCCTTTACCCACCCAGAGGTCATACCTGTTAGAAAATGCTTTCAATGTCTTGTTTGTTTTTGTAAAGTGTTTTACGGCTCTCGCAACTGCATAAGGTCATATGAGCGCTCGGGACACATTAAACATTTCAATTTCTTAAGTCTTCGTCATTGTTTACGTGTTAAAAGTTAACGGTCGTGACAAAAGCAAATATTTTAATATAAAACAAAGAGGAAAACATATTATCTAGCACCACGTAACCT